TATTTTTACACTTTTTTTTTTTGGTGCAGTACTGAGGAATGAACTTAGGGGTGCTCTACTACTAAGCTACATCTTCAGATCTTTTTATTTTTTGAGCTAGGTTCTCGCTAAATTGTCCAGGTGGGAGGGAAACTCTCAATCTTCCTGCCTCAGCCTCCCTCAGTCCTGGGATTACAAGCATGCACCACCACTCCTGGCTTTTATGATTTTTAAAATGCTTTTTGAAAACTGTAAAGACTGTCGCCGTCCTATGGTGCCTGCTCTGCACTTCAACATTCACGAAGCAACTGCCAAAATAAGAGGTTCCACACTAAGGACTGAGGAAGAACAGGCTGCCCCTCCAGGGGTTATTATGGTCAAAGGAAACAAGGTCACATACAAAAGGTAAGCACAGACTCTGATAAAAGCAACAGATAACAAAAGGAAGAGGCTGCATTGTTTGGGCCAAGAAGGGGTGAAAACCTGCAACAACCAGAGGAGCTCAGAGCAAGGGAGAGCAGATGACAATGGAGCAGTCCTGGGGATGGAACAGACAGTCCATGCCACCTCATTCTGTGCGCTCCAGCTCCTGCAGAGGAGAACTACCAGGACCCTCTGACCAGATCTAGGCCCTGCTATTTCCCTCAGCTCTCTGCAGCCTGTTGAGAGGAAGGACACAGCTGTTATCTTTGGCTGGTCCTATCTCACTCATGCTTTCGGGGAAGAGATCCTGAGGGTGGTAGCTGGGGACGAGAAGGGCACGTCCTGGAAGAAAGCAGGGTTCAAGGACCTCTGGGGGTGACTAGAGGACCCTCCCTGAAGCTTTACTGCACCCTCGGGTTTCCAACACTCAACACCCTCAAGCTATGGTCAATGACTACAAGTTACCAGGGAAGGTCACAGTCAGACATCAACCTGAGATCCCTCTTCTGCTAGAAGCATATGATGGTGCTTCCCAAAGTGAGCAAAGCAATGTCCCCATATTTGTGAATATTGCAATATCCACTACCCCACCCAGCCATCTGTTCCTGGTGCTAACAGATTTTTCTTGGAAATTCTCAGAAGGTTCTACACTGCCTAAACACATGACCATGACTTGCTAGCTGACTTCACCCTTTCCCTGTCTCATTGTCACCCCACACTTGGCCCAGGGACCTGAGAATAGGAACGAGATCCACAGAGGGCTCTAAAGAGCCTGAGCTATGAACAGATTACTGCCCAATCTGTTTCTACCACATGGTGCTCAGCCAGCTCTGTACTTGCTTAAGTGGCACTAATGCCACTGTTCAAGCCTGGAAATTCTGCAACCCCCAAAGGGTTAGGGGGCAGCCAGGACAAGTTCTCACATTCAGTTAGCCAGAATGCTCCCACAATGACTGTTGGTTGGTGTTTTAGTTCAAATGGGCTCTGATCCCAGAGCAGCTTACAGGGAGCCCTGAGCCTAACTGAGCTGGCCCAGCACCAGAGGATACGGTCCCCCAAGAAAAGCAGAACCAAGAAATTTAGTCAGCTTCTAAAGGAGTCATGAATAAATATAATTGGAAAGACATCACCAGGCATGGTGGCACACACTTGTAATCCCAGCACTCAGGAGGCTGAGTCAGAAGGATCAACACAAGTTTGAGGCCAGCTTGGGCTACATAATGAGTCCAAAGACAGCATGAACTACAAAGCCCCGTTTCAAGGGGTTATGCATGCACAAAGACAAGTCATATAGGTTATTGGGAGCACTAATATTTGAGAGCATGTTTTTTTGAAAGGATCCATGCTCAGTGCTGTTCAAGAATTCTTCTGCAGAGAAACTGAGGCACATGCAGGCTATAGATCCTGCCCAAGAACCTTAGGTGGTCCAGTGCTCCTGTGCAAAGACCTCTGAAGATTCTCACTTCTAGACTGTCCTGTCTAATCTGCTGATGCAGGCTTAGGATCCCTTAGTATTAGAGTCCCCGCTTCTACTGGGCTAGCCCAGACCTGAGCCAAACTCAAAGCCAGCTCATATGTTCACACACTCCAGACTGCTTTCCAAACTGTTTGCAGACACACACACACACACACACACACACACACTCACACACACACACATCCTTGTGTCTTCTGCTGCTACTCCACCTGCTTGAGGTTCTTGCACTTTTCAAATTGCATATCAATGTGACTTCTCATGCCCTTGGGGTCCCTCACATAGTCCTCAAAGCGTGCTGGTTCTGTTCCTAATGGTAAAAAGGTTGCTATGTGCACCCCTGTGTCCTGGACAAACTATACAGAGCTGACCACAGGGCAGTTACACAATCACTTATTTGGGCTTTTTGTTTAGGTTTGGTTTTTTGGGGGGGTACCGGGGATTGAACTCCAGACCATGTGCTTGCAAGGTAGATGGGCGGAACCACTGAGCTAAATCCCTAGCCCTTGTTTTGTTTTTTTGAGACAGGATCTTGCTGTGTAGTTCAGGCTGGCCTTGAATGCAGGGTAATCCTCCGGCCTCTCAAGTGCTAGGACCACAGGCAAGCATTACCACACCCAGCCTCAATCATTTTTTAAAAGAAACTAAACTATTATTGACTGCAAACAAACAAAAAAGGCTATAATGCTATCTAAAAGAATAAATCAACACTTTTTAAAAAAAGACATCTTCATCTGCTTGCAAATAAAAGCAGGAAACCCTATGCCCATTTTTTTGAGATAAACTCAATCTCTGCTAAGGTTTGCAATCTCTTTGTCAGCCCTTAAAACCAATTTTATT